CTCAGCTAATTCGATCCTAGGGGACAGGCAGAACAGATGGTCACCAACCACCTTCTAAGTGCCAACCTTCCCCATCACAGAAGACGCCAGCCAGAGACATTCCTGGTGCAAATGCAAAGACCGTCTGATCAGATCGACAGGGCTTCAAATTCAAATGAGTTGCAGGTGCAAGTCTGATGAAGTCATCCTAATTAAACACAGATCGATGAGGGCAGTCATGGTGGGACCTAGCACAGCAGTGCTGCCTTGAAAGCTTTCATGTATTGGGGGACCCAATGGAGGCCTTGTTCTGCTTCACAGAGCACGAGGAGGAGACACAAACCAAGTGTGGCCAGGTGCTCAAGGTCAAACTCTCCCAAGCCCCGTCTCCTCCATCCAGGGCTCCCTCCTGCCAGTCCCACCGTGCCCCGCAGCAGACTGGACAGGAAAATATCGTCTTTGGCTGTGCACGCTGAAGCTACCAAGTGTCATAAACTCTTATAGGCAAGCCCCTTCTGGTACAGGATTCAAGGGCAGGATTCACTCTGCCAGGCTGGATTTTCTTCTCTCATGTTCATCAAATCAGAACCCTAAAATGGAAGGGGAGGAGAGGGGAGAGGAGGGGAGAGGAGGGGAGGGGAGGGGAGAGGAGGGACGAGGGGAAGAAAAGGGACATGGCAGGGCCACAGAACACCCTGCACCCTCCCCCCCCCCCCGGCCTCTCAGAGCTCTGCCCCCAGCAGGAACCTCTCCCTGCCGCTTCCTAGCAGTCAAGTAGGTTATAAGGGAATTCTCCAGAGGGACAGTCTTGGAGCAGATCCCTCTGAGATACAGAATGGTGGACACAAAGATCCACTTTCAGATTACCCGTCAGAACCATCTCCTCAGCTAAGGTAGAAGTCACAGAGAGGAAGGTGCGCCAGTGAGAACCCCAGGTGCTGTCCACACGTGCTACAAAACACTCACTTCTGTCAATTCAGGGAAACTCCTTTGGTCAAGACACTTGCTTTGGCTTCTGGTCATACATGGACGGCCAACTTAGTAAAGGCTAAACGCAAATGCAGAGATAGGATGTAAAGACAACTCATTCACTAGAAGTGACTATTGTCAACACACACCCCCAACGTCCCTGGGAAATGAAGACAGGCCAGTGATCAAGGTCACGGATGACCCTCTCTGTCCCAGTGGCTGTCAGCCCCAGGTCTCCAGGTGCCTGGCTTTGCCTCTCGGTACCACAGGTACGAGGCAGGTGTTCAGTCCTGCTTCATGGGTGAAGAATGTGAGCTTAGAATGGGCAACAGTAAAGGCGGTAGAATTTGAGCTTTTCCAGCCTTCCCCTCAAACCCTGGAGCCCAAGTCCTCTGGACCAATCCCCACTGGCTGTCAGGCCACCCAGACAAACCCACAGGCAAAACACACGCAGAGTCATCCCAGGATGTGAGTCGCTACGTTTACTGACCCATGCCAATTCCCCTCCATCTGGGGAGACCAGAGACACGTCTTGCTGACAGCTGTCTCCACGGATCCTAGCAGAGCCTGGCATATAGCAGACTCTCGGGGAACAAGGAACTGCCACTGTTGGTCTCATTTACCCTATACCCAAGCAACATCAGCCAGGCTGCTGCCAGGGGAGTGGGCGCTGAGGAGCCAGAAGGCAGCCTGGTCCCTCCGGAGCAGTGTGCCAAGGTATCGTGCACTTCCATCTGGGATCTCGTCCTCTCCCCCCTGCCCATTCCACCATCTCAGTCCTTAGTTAAAGGAGTGAAGCAGTTGACTGTCGGGTAGCAGTCTGGGTTGCTATCTTGTCCACTTCCTCCATGGGAGGAGGTACCCAAGACCAAGGACAGGAGGGTCACAGTCAATACTCTAAGCTCCTGGGCCAGGTAGCATCACATGCCCAACTGGCCAACCCCAGCCTTGTCAGGCTCCTGTTCCGTAAAAGCTGCCCTTCACTGGGGTCCCCTTGCCCCTTCGTAGGCCCACACTCAAGGCCATGCTTTTGGGATGAGCCTTGGGATCCCTGACCATCCCATGTGAGTTTCCGATCTTTCTCCCATCCTACCCTCAAATACGGCTTTGCTATCTTGGGGGAAGCAACAAGACACGGCTGGATTTTTTTTTCCTTTTCGGTAAAGAATAAAGCTGGTTTATACCCACTGGATTCCTAGTGGGGAAGGAGGGAGGCAGGAGACCCGAGTTCCACCTTCTATCTGCATCTAGATGTGTCGATGGATGGGAAATGCTCCGATGTGTATAAGACAGGATGGCTCCCAACATGAGGAACCTACCTTCCCACCGAAGACTCCTAGTGGGCCCTGAGTGGGAGGGGTAGCCTGGGGCCAGCAGGTCACGGGCAGGCCCAGGCTGTGGGATACCCGAACGAATCCCCAAGGCATGGCGAGACAAGACAGCATGTACCTCCATGTCAAGGACATCACTTCCCTGCATCTTCACTTCCTGATCTATAGAGACAGGGGCTCCAACCGCACCAGGCCTGTGCACTGGTTCTGTTTGGACCACTTCATGTGGCCAGCTGACCTTGGCCACCCAGTTGTCTCCAAATCAGGCCACTCTTACTGCTTGGGCAGCTTACCGCTAGCTGCCTGCCCCCATGGGCATCTATGATTCCCCTGACGGGGACAGTCGCCAAGCCCTCTCCCAACTTTGGGCCTCAGCAGGAAGCGACTAACGGAGGAGCTTCCAAACAAACCAGGAGGTGCTCCCCGAGACAGGAAAGTTTCCCGGGTTCCCCCAGTCCCCACTGAGAGGGTCAAGCCATAGAGCAAGACTGGACCTCAGGGCTTTTCTGCCTTTCCAGTCTCTCAGCAGGAGAAGTGGGAGGGGAAGCCCTCCCACTCTGCGCCTTCTCCTGTCTCACTCTCCCCATCCAGTCAGTGGGGAAACGGTTGCCGGCTCCCCCTCTGCCCAGTCCTCTCTGGAGCCTTTTCACATCATCGTGAGCCGTGCAGCCCTTGCTGCCTCCTACTGCTGATACAGCTTCCTGTGTGTATCTCCTCCCCAGACACAGCCAAGTGTCTTGGGGGATCAAACTGATGCATTTAGCGCCTCTCCGCCCAGCACTTCTTTGTATCTACCAGCATCTACATGGGGCACTGCCTATGAAGTGCTGGATGCCCACAGTGATGATAATGGTGGCTGTCGTTAGCTCCAGAGGAGGAAGGCTCTGGCACGGCCTTCCTGGAAAGAGAAAAGAGATGGAAGATCTGCCGTTCCTTCCTGACCAGGTGGCGGCAGCTGTACAGATGCAGACAGGAGGTGCCCCTCTCCCCTACACACACACACACACACACACACACACACACCTTCCCCAAGCCCACAGGGCCAGAGGCAGCCCTACCTTCCCAGGTCAAGGCCAACAGCAGTAGCCACAGCCCTATGGGGACCCTCTCTCTGGCTATTTCACCCCCCTTCTGGGCTGCTGGAAATCTAGCTGTGGGGCAGGCCTGGTGGCCTCTTCCTAAGCTGCTTTTAATCTGCCTCCCCCTTTCTCCCTGGTGGTGAAGCCCAGTTCCAAGGCTCAAGTTCCTCTCTGCCCCTTCCTCAAGGTCATCCATCCCCATCCCGAAAAGGTGAGAGACCACTAGCGAATGCCAAGAGGGAGGGCGAGGAGGGCGAGGGTAAGTGCAGAGAAAGTGGCAGCAGCCGGGTCGGGAGGCAAGGGCAAGCCGGGGTGGGAGGGTGGTGGATGGGGATGGGGGGTATGAGGAGATGGGGTTGGAGTTTGTGTGTGTTGGGGGGTGAGATGCTCGAGAGAGACGGGGAAAGAGGTTGGATTCGCCAGGAGCCGCAGGGTTAGGGCGGGAGATGGTCGCCTCGTGGTGGGGTCCAGGCGCCCGCGAGCTTCCCGGCCCTAGCCCAGTTCCGAGACCCCAGCGGGACCGCGCCTGGGAGGCAGGTTGGCCGTCCCGCCGCCCCACCCACAGGCCAGAGCGCAAGGCAGGGTCGCGGCAGAAGCCGACAGAGACCTCTCCCCCATTTCCAGACTCGAGGCCCGCTCGCGCCAGGCGTGCGCCCGGGTAGGTGACCAGGGCCAGGCACGGCGCTTCAGGTGGTCCTCCCAGTGGTTTAAAGTTCGCGGCCAGCGCAGGAGCCCACTCCGCTCGGCCCGGCGCGCTCGGCGGCGCCCTCATCCTCCGCGGGGTCCCAAGACCACTTCCCTCCCGGCTCCCGCCCCGCTGGGGCCCGGGTCCCCTCTGCTGCCTCCCTCCCTGCGCGCTGGATCTCCCGCACGACGTGAGCGGAAAGTGAATGGGCAGCCCCAACCACAAAGACAAATTACCATGAGAAAAATAAATCAGGAGATTGCCGTTCGCGGCCCCGGTTCCCGCCGCCGCGCCCCAATCCGCCGACCACGGCGGGAGCGCGGGGCCCCGAGCCGCCGCGTCTGGGGCCTGGCGGGCAGAGTTTGGGTTTCGCAGGGCCTGGACAGGGTTATCTGGAAGAGGGTCTAGGAAGAAGCCGCGTGGGGGCCCCGCCGGCGGCCGAGCGGGGACCGCCCTGAGGGGGAGATTTCGCGCTCTGGGCGGGCCACGCGTGCCCACGCGCGTCGCCGCCGCGCTCTGGCTCCCTCGGCTTTGCCCGCGCGCCCTCTCGGAGACCTGGCTCCGCTCCGCGACAGTCTCGGCGTCTCTGCCCCACTCTCTCCCAGGCGTGTGCTCCTCCAGGCCCGGGCCCCACGTCTTCCACGATGGCTGCTACTCTCCACGCTCTGACCGCAGTCCGGAGAGTGCGCATTATCACTCGTGATACTGTAGCTCAACGAGCGAGCGTGAACGTGGGTTGCCGTGATCTCAGTGCTGCCGAAAGACTTTTATGTCATGTGGTAGCGGGAGGCACAGGAGCCCGTGTACACCCGGTCCTCGTGCCCGCAGCCTCCCCACCTGTCTCCAACTCAGCGGGCGCCCCCGGGCCTCCACCCCTCTACCCACCAGAGTTGCTGAAGTTTGCAACTCGCAGCCCCAGCCCGTGCGGGGGAAGCGCCCGGGGCTCGCAGGACTCACCTCCCGGCTTCGGGCGCAGGTGCGGGTTCCTGGCGGCTCCCGGCTCCCGGCGGCGCGAAGCGGCAGGGGCGAGCCAGGCGGGCCGGCGGCCCGTCCGGGAATGGGGCCACCGCGCTGGAGCGGCCCCCCGGCCCCCGGCCCCCGACCCCCGACCCCTGGCTCGGCGCTCTTGAGCAGTTCCGACCCCGCTGCGCTCGGCTCCTCCGGCAGCCAGCCGCTGGACGCGCAGCCGACCCGCCCGGCTCGGCGGCGCTGGGCTCCGGCAGCAACCCCCGCGCTCCAACTAGCTCCCGACCCGGCGCGCCGGAGAAGCTGGGAGGGGGAGGCCGAGGGAGCCGGCGGAGGGAGGGCGCGGCGCAGGGGGAGGAGTTGGGAGCGAGGGCAGAGCAGGGGGGGGGTGCGCGAGCGCCGAGGGGAGGGGGCTGGAGGGGACCTGCGGCGGCGGGCGCTGCACCGGCCGGCCCGGGCGCGCAGGCAGCGCGAGGGGGCGCAGTGCGTGCCCAGCGCGCGTCCCCGGGAGGGCGCACGGCACCCCCGCCCCGCCGGCATCCTTAGCGGCGACACCCAGGTCCCTGGGCGCCCGCCGCCTCTGCCACATCCTGCCTCGCCGTCTGGCTGCCCCCATCTCGGCACCTGACTGCCCCCTGCCCCGGGCTCGCGAACGCCCCAACCCCGCTAGCCCGGAGCGGTCTTCCTGCCTGTGGACCCCAGGTGGGGAGGACCGCGCACGGAACTGGGGGCTCTGCGACGAACTGCAGCGGCAGCGATGGGGCCAGGCTGCCAGGCATGGTGGGGAAGCCACAGCGGGTCCGCCCGGTGGTGAGGCTCGCTGGTCGGGCCTCGTGAGAGAACCTCTCTGAGCCCGAGTTTCCTCGGCTGTGCGTTGGGCTTGCCGACAGGCACCCTGCAGAATTGTGAAGAACACGGAGGAGGAGCAGTGAGCAAACCCACACGGGAGGACGCCCAGGCGACGGGTGGTGCGGGGAGGCGAAGGGGCGTCCCCGGCTCGGCGCGGGCCCACGAGCTCGGCGGAGCTGCTTCCAAGTTTGTGGGAGCGGGTGTTTTGGGAAGGCTGGACGGCGGGAGGGAAAGAGCGAGGGGCAGGCTGCACATCCGAGCTGCCCGGGCTGCGGGAGGCTGCGAAGGGAGCCCTCTGCCGAACAACAGCGGTACTTGCAAGAAAAAAAAAGGTGACCTAAGAAAGGGAGAGTAAGACAAAGGACCCGCACCGCGAAAGCGGCAGAGTGTGGCTGTGAGGGGGAGCCACAGAGCACTGTGCGATGGAAATTAATAAGTTCGAGGAGGGAGAAGGTGGAAGGACTTTCTGCGGGGTGCTAGGAATTGGAGAGTTAGAACAAAGGCCGAGTGGAGCAGTCTACACCGCAAGCCCAGGAGAAAGCAGAGTGCGGAGCTAAAGCCTCAGAGAGGGCCCGGGGCCGCCAGCCCCACCTCTGAGCCAAAGTGGGAGGAAGCAGTTGGGCCGGGAAGCTGGGGATCAAAGGGTGCCTGCTGAATGCAAGCGAGGAGTGTATGAGATGCTGTAAGGAGCGAGGGAGCACAAGAGTGCAGAGAGAAAGAGCTCCTGGGGCAACAGAAATGCTGAGTCTCATAAGGACTGGGCCGCAGAGGAACTTGCAAAGGTAAAAGCACACTCTGGACGTGACGACAGAGAAGTAGAAGAAAAGGGCACATCAGGGCATCCCAGCCTGTTGGCCTGTGCCCCGGAATCAGCAAAGGCAATGCTGGGTGTGGAGGGCAAACCTAACATTTTGCACATCTGGGTTGGGGGAGCCCCTTCTCCCAGAGTCCCAGGCTGGGAGGGGCAGGTATTTGATCTCCACTGTGGAAGCCCCACTGCTATGAGTGTACCCCCCCCACACACATACATCCCTAGTTCCTGCAGAACTCTGGCATGTGTTTCTGTCCTTGCTAAACAAAATGTGTGGGAGCAGGCATTGGGCACAGTGGTTAAATATCACTTAGGATGCCTGCATCCTACATCACAGCATCTACATTCAGATCCTGGCTCCACTTCCAATTCCAGCTTCCTGCTAATGTGCACCCTGGGAAGCAGCAGGTGATGGCTCAAGTGCTTTTGTCCCTGTCAAACAGAAATGTGAAAGCATCCCAGATACCACAGGGACAGGCAAGGAGCAGGAAGGCTTCCCACTTGTCTGGCTGAGAGGGGAGACAAGTGCCTTCTCGTGGCTCTGTCAGCCGCAGCTCTTCCCCAGAAGGATATCAAACCCCCTCCATCCTCACACAACCCCCACCCCCGTGAAGCCCTCTCTCTCCCCGCTGTGTGGGGATCATTTTCTCCTTCTTTCCCACCATCTCCCAGGCTCCTTCCCGGCTCTCTGTCTGTGTGTCCACATTATGAGTGAGTGTGGCGGGAGCTAGGCACAGGAAGAGAAGCGAGGAGACTCCCAACCTGGGGACAGGGAGAAGGAAAGCTTGCTTTTCAGGGGCCGTAGGAGCCAAGAGGGGAAGATGGCCTAGGAGACACAGACAGAGGAGCGGGCCACTTGGCACACTGGACTAATTCATCCTAATTGCATCTACAGAATTGTGTTGATGACCGGTGATTACTCAAGAGCTCTCAATGCAGGAGAGCTTCAGAGGCCAGGTTCTGCCCTGGAAGGGCAGTTTCTTTACTAGCCCGGCCTGTCACCTGCTCCAGACATTTCCTGGGGCTTGGCCAGCCCAGCCTGGTTCCAGCCTCCTAGTCATTTACTTGGAACAAAACTTGGAGTGCTGGCCCCATTACCACCGTGTCGCGACCAGCTTCTGCCACCCTCTTAGACCTTTGCAATAACCTGTACAGTAATTACTTCTGTTAGGAGCAATTCTCCACCTCTGGAAACATACTGCTAATTAGGCAGAATGTAAATACAGTAATTAATACAGAATTATCCAAAACAAACAAGCTAAAGTGCAGGGAACACTGTGGGGGGAACGGGGAGTTCTTAGAATTCACTCTTGACCTGGGAATTCCAAATATCTTGAACTGAGGTTCAAAGAGGTCAAGGGTGGCAAGGCCGGGGGTACATGCGGGGCCCCGTCTCCCAGCTAAGGCCATTTTCTGGAAAGTGAAACGACCTCTGGATAAAGAGTGCAGCCTCTACCGGCCCGTGCCTGTGTGGGTCTGTGTGTCCTTGTGTGTGTCTGTGTGCCCTGTGCAAGCACAACTCTGGCTTTGCAGCAAAAGGCAAACAACAGCCGACTGTACACTGATGGGACAGAGAGAAGTGAGAGTAACAAGGCAGCTGTCGCTCATGCAGTTGAGATAATTTCCTGGCCCCACCACTGCCTGCTCATCGTGCCAGGAGATGGCAAAGACAACGGAAAATCCCGACCCCAGCAGTCATTGTTGATTTGTGAACCCAAAACATACTTGGGTCAGAGGAACTGAAGTGTCACTGAATGACAGCTTTGCCATTGTCCTGAACTAAAGTGGGAGACGAGACCTTCCTTCCTGCCTGCCTGCCCTCCCAAACATTGCAGTGCCACTCATGTCGGGAGGTGGACATATCGGAAGGAGAGCTGCTCGGGCAGGCAGGGAAGGCAGACAGCACCCAGTGGTTGGGAGGATGGCCATGAGGTGGGAGCCGTGCCAGCGAGCAGGGCCAGGAAGCCTCCACCAAAAGGGCTCTTGCAGCCAGGAGTGGAAGGTGGAGTAGGGATTTGCCAGACAGAGAAGCTGGAGGAGGGAGAGGATTCCAGACAGAGGAAGCAGCCTGTATAAAAGCACAAGGCGATAGAATTAGATTTCTGTTTGAAGCATTACTTGGCCCTGGTTAACAGATCCCAGAGAGCCGAGACTGTAAACGCAAGCAGGTGCATCGTGGGGTGGGAAGAGCACCTGCCAGACGTTGGGGCTTCTCAGCTCCAGGAGCCGCGTGTCCTTGAACAAACCTCTTCACCTCTCTTACCTCAGCTGACCATGGGTACAGCAGGAGGGATGGATCCACTGGTTTCAAGGCTGCTCCCTGCACAAAGCATTCTGGGATTCTGACTGTACCTGCAGATACTTCTCTCAGTCTTGTGCTCCTGGCTTCCCGAGTGTGTAGCGCTGGACCCCTTGCAAAAGTATCTCCCATACACGTCGCCTTTGACCTTCACACTCCTGTGAAGGAGATGTTTACACTGAAACCCTGTATCATCTTGTCCAGTCGCCTGGCTGTGAATGCCACCTCTGGGCTGACGACACCCATGTTTGTGTCCGAGGCTGTGACTTGTGATTGTCTCTCAGACAATCCTGATCCCAGTGATCAGCCGCCCGCTCCCTCCTCCAGGAGAACAGCTAAAATAGGCAGCTCACATTGGACATGTCCAACACTCACCTGCAGGTTTGCTCTCCCAAAGCAGCTCCCCACTCAGATGGCCCCATCCCAGTAAATAAAAACTCCATCCTTTCAACTCCTCAAGGACAAAACCTTAGCATCACCCCCCATAGCCCTTGTCCAAACCATCAGTAAATCCCATTATCTCCACCTTTGAAATACCTTCAGCATCTGGCCCCTTCTCACCACCTCCTCTGCTGACTCCCACTTCCAGCTGCTCTGCCTGTCCGCCTTTGTGCCTGCATCCTGTTCAGCACGACGCCCTCCAGAGTCAGAACCTGGTACCCTTTTGTTCAGAAACCTTCCATGGCTCCACGGCTCTCTCCTTAGCAGCCTCGCAAGGTCCTCTCTGACATCATCTCCTGCTGCGCTCCCCTTGCTCACTTCTCTTCAGCCACATCAGCCTCTCTGCTGTTTCTCAAATGCCCAGGGTCTTTGCACTGGATGTGCCCTCTTGTGCTAAATGCACACATGGGTCATCTCCTTGCCTCCTTCAGTGTCTGCTCAAATCTCAGTTCATCTGACAAACCCCCGTCACTGTCACCACGTGACCGAATCACCTAACTGGATATAAATTCCATGCAGGCAGAGGACTTGTCTGCTTTGCCCATTGCTGTAACCGTAGCCCATAGAGGAGTGCTTGGGTAAAGGAAATGCACAATATTGATTTAGAGGAGGAATTGTTGTTTTCACCCACATTTTACAGAAAGGAAAACTGAGGCTCATCAATGTAATGGGTAATACTCAAAACTGAGTCTTCTTTTTTAAGATTTATTTATTTATTTGAAAATCAGAGTTACACAGAGAAAGGAGAGGCAGAGAGAGAGAAAGAGAGAGAGAGAGAGAGAGAGAGAGAGAGGTCTTCCATCCACTGGTTCGCTCCTCAGTTGGCCGAAATGGCCAGAGCTACACTGATCAGAAGCCAGGAG